TGAGATTTGACTAAATACAGAGGTTAGGCAACAAACTGGATTTGGTATAAAGTTGTGTGCCTAAAATGTGATGGAACACTTTAAATGTGGGGGGGGGGGAAATAATGCTGACATGAGTTGTACATTGAGAAGTAGTGACTGAATAACTGAGGACTACAAATTTTAGGCACATACTTCCATTTTTCCCAATTCAGCTATTTTTTTTATTTTTTTTTCCCTAACCTCTCCTTTGTTAATTACTCACTATAATGAATAGCGCCAGAATCTTATAATGTTATGCAGAAGACTTTACATTCTCTTTGTCCCAGTCATCACAAAACACTGGAGAAGGGTGACAAAGATACTTGATGCATGTTTTGGATGTCAGCCTCTTAGTAGTTTTAACAGAATTGTAAATGTGCTGCTAAATAAAGCTTGTTTTTGTTTGAGCCAAACCATATGCAAGTGGTTTTATTTTCTCAATGTAAACTTTTGACAGAGGGTTTTTTTTTTGTTTTTTTTAAGAATTAAAGAGCAATGTTTGCCTTGAAGTGCCAAGGCAATAATACAGTAGTAATGCAATTAATTGTGCACAACATTCCATACTACACTTTATTTATTTTTTTTTCTGATTAGGCATAAATGTTTTTTTATTTGTATTGTAGAAAAATGCAAGACATTCCTGCAAGAATTTTATAAGGATGATGAGTTTGGAAAGAAACACTTCAAGTATGGAACTCAGCTGGTGAGTGTCAGAAATTCTAGAACTTAAAGCCTCTGTGCCGGTTAGTGGCTATTGCTGTGCATGCCAAGGATGCTCCCAATGTTTCTCTGATTTAGTTGAAATGGCAAAATTTCTTAAAGGACCACTATAGTGCCAGGAAAATATACTCTTTTTCCTGGCACTATAGTGCCCCCACCCTCAGGGACACTATCTCGCCGGGCTCTAGGTGGAGGAAGGGGTTAAACTTACCTCTTTTTCCAGTGCCGGGTGGGGAGCTGCTCTCCTCGGCGGCAGGAGCCGCGCGCGCATTCAGCCAGTCCATAGGAAAACATTCCCAATGCTTTCCTATGGACGCTGGTGTCTTCTCACTGTGAAAATCACAATGAGAAGCACGCAAGCGCCTCTAGTGGCTGTCAAGAGACAGCCACTTGAAGCTGGATTAACCCATTTATAAACATAGCAGTTTCTTCATTAAGCTGAAGTGGTCTGGGTGCCTATAGTGGTCCTTTTTAAGTGCAATAAACGCAATTTAAATAAACCAGAATCTAAGTGCAATACACAGTAGTTGAATATGATTATGAAAGGAATTTAGTAAATGTTTAAATCTAAACTTATATATCTGCTCTTCAGTTGTAGTTGAACTTTGGAATTTAGAGATTGTTAAATTCGCCTTCCACCTTTCCAAATATTTAGGATGGAAGAAATGATCTACCGTTCAGAAGCTTAACATGCATCTTCTCTGTTTCAGACAAATATTGCTCACAGAGAACAGGTTTCTTTATATATTGATCTGGATGACCTGGCTGAAGAAGACCCTGAATTGGTGGATTCTATCTGTGAGAACACAAGGAGATACACCAATCTCTTTGCTGATGCTGTCCATGAGCTATTACCGCAATATAAAGAAAAAGAGGTAAGTTATTATCTAGAGAGCAATTGGGATGTGACTGGCTATATGTCTGCGTCCTTTAAGCTATTATTGCATAGTTTTACAGTTAAAGAAATGTACATGAATTTGTGGCGTTTCAGGTGATTAACAAAGATGCCTTGGATGTGTATATTGAGCATCGGCTGATGGTTGAACAGCGAGGTAGAGACCCAAATGAGATCCGGGATGCTCAGAACCAGTATCCACCAGAACTAATGCGGAGATTGTAAGTACTCATCACAACCACAATATTAATCTGTATGGAATTGACTAAATGTAATTCTTTTAAGACCTCACTAAAATATTGGTGTAAAATTCTCAAATATCAAATGCACAGCCATTTTTTTTTTTTAGTGATGGACAATTAATTGTCGAATTAATGTGTAACTTTCATTGATTAAAGTCATGTCTTCCTCGACCTTAGTGGGTCTAGGATGAATGTAAAAAGGGTGATCTTTTATATTAACCTAATTATCAGACATTTATCCATTCCTTCCCCTACAGTGAGCTGTACTTTAAGGCACCATCGAGTGCCAAGGCACGTGTGGTTCGAGATGTGAAAGCGGATTCCATTGGCAAGCTTGTTACAGTCAGAGGTATTGTAACCAGAGTAACAGAGGTCAAACCAATGATGGTGGTGGCAACATACACATGTGACCAGTGTGGAGCAGAGACTTACCAACCTGTAAGTGCCCTCCTGGATTTTTTTTTTTTTTTTAAATGTAAAACGTATTACTTAAGGCAAAGTGGTTCGTTCAAATGTTTAGAGTCTTTCTCTCATTTTACAGATACAGTCACCTACCTTTATGCCAATAATAATGTGTCCCAGCAAAGAGTGCCAAACAAACCGGTCTGGTGGAAGGCTGTAT